GCAGGGGCAGGGCCTTTGTTTCCCTCCCACCGCCTGGCACAGCGCCTGGCACACACGTGGGTTGCACACGCACCCACCGGGGCCTTGGGTCCCGGCTCGCGTGACTCACCCCCCAACCCCCTTGCCCGGTCCCCAGGTGCGTCTTCCTGCCGGACCAGGGCGCCTTCTTTGTGAACTACGTCATCGCCTCGGCCTTCATCGGCACCGGCATGGAGCTGCTGCGGCTGCCCGGCCTCATCCTCTCCACCTTCCCCCTTCCTGCCGGACCAGGGCGCCTTCTTTGTGAACTACGTCATCGCCTCGGCCTTCATCGGCACCGGCATGGAGCTGCTGCGGCTGCCCGGCCTCATCCTCTCCACCTTCCCCTGCTTTGTTTCTTGAGAAAAAAAATCACCATGTTAGCCAAGAGATTTTTACATTAAAAAAAAATTTATTTTAAATTGATTTCAGAGAGGAAGGGAGAGGGAGAGAGAGAGAGAAACATCAATGATGAGAGAATCATTGATTGGCTGCTTCCTGTACGCAGCTGACTGGGATCAAGCCTGCAACCTGGGCCTGTGCCCTTGATGGGAATTGAAGCCTTCAGTCTGCAGGCCGACGCTCTATCCACTGAGCCACACCAGCAGGGCTGGATTTTCCCATTTTAACCAGTCTCATCACACACACACACACACACACACACACACACACACACACCCCTAACATCAGCACGTCACTCATTGGGGGGCATCCATGTGCCTAAGCCCTTAAGATGATCACAGTTGTCAATGCGTTTGGGGTGTGTGGCATGGTCCCCTAAGTGGCTAACACGGGTTCTCTTTCATTTCCCTTTGCCGTGTGGGCACCCTGAGAGGGAAGGCAGAGCCCTCTGAGACGGGCCTGCTGGTACCTTACGTGGCAGATGCACAGCCTAAGCAGCAGGCAGGTTGGGAGCCCAGGACACAGGCCAGGACGGGCAGAGCTGATGTTGCATCTGATGCCAGAGTCCGTAGGGATCACTGCCCCCCCGGGGCTTGGGGGCCTGCTGGGGAGACATGGTAAAAACAAAGGTGACACGAGGGAAGCATGAGTCACTGCACCGTGGAGGTCTGGGGTGCATGGAGTGCAGCTGGAGAAGGCTGGTGGAGGGAGGAAAAGGACCTCACCCCCGGCCGGTGTAGCTCAGTGGTTGAGCATTAACCTATGAATCAGGAGGTCACGGTTCGATTCCCCATCACATCCCCAGGTTGTGGGCTCGATCCCCAGAAGGGGGCGTGCAGGAGGCAGCCGATCCATGATTCTCATCACTGATGTTGCTATCTCTCCTCTCCCTTTTTCTCTGAAATCAATTAAAAACATTTTTTTTTTTTAAGAAAAAGGACCTTAAGAGGTGGGGGAGCTGTGCGTCTCCCATTTCCAAAGTCCTTCTCACCTGTTTGCCCTCTCCACCTGGAGCCATCGAGGGGCTTGGGGCCCAGCAGGCCTGGCAGCACCTCACTACCTCCTCCTCCTCCTCCCAGAACCAGGCCTTCGAGTTTGAGTTCGGAGCCATGTACGCGTGGATGCTGTGCGTCTTCACCGTCATCATGGCCTACAGCATCACCTGCCCCATCATCGCGCCATTCGGTGAGTGGCCCTGAGGCCCGTCCAGGGTCGGGGTGGGGGCTGCCTCCACCAAGCACCCCAAGACGGCCGTCACGGGGCATTCTGGAGCCCCACAAACAGAGGACCTCTTGAAGCCACAAGAGCCACCCGCTGTCAAGGAGCCACGGGTGACACCAGATTTAATTCACTTCTCATGAGTCCCTCCCACCGGCCTTCCCAACTGTGGCCTCACTCAGCGCTTCTCCTGGTCTGAGCTCCGCCAGCTGACCACTTCGCTCTTTTTAAAAATATATATATATATTTTATTGATTTTTTTACAGAGAGGAAGGGAGAGGGATAGAGAGTTAGAAACATCGATGAGAGAGATTAAATTTACTTTTTAAATATGTTTTTATTGATTTTGGAGAGAAGAAGGGAGAGGGAGAGGGAGATAGAAGCATCAATGATGAAGGAATCATGGATCGGCTGCCTCTTGCAAGCCCCCTCCTGGGGATCAAGTCCGCAACCTGGGCATGTGCCCTGAATGGGAATCGAACCAGTGACCTCCTGGTTCATAGGCTGATGCTCAACCACTGAGCCACATGGACTAGGCTGACCACTCTCTTCTTGGTCGATTCTTGAAGACACTAAGGCAGTAACGATCCAGGTTCTCATGTGTACAGTCACCTTCTCACTCCCCACCGGTGATCACGCCATCCAACAAGCCAGCGTCACAGATGAAGCACTCGCTACCTGTCGGTGAGGGTAGGGTGAGGATTCGAACGTGGAACGGCTCGACTTTAAAGGTCAAGGTCTTGCAACTAAAATAAAACATCAGGAACTGGCTGACAGGTGGAAGACTCTAGAAGGAAACACAGCACTCAGGATCCTGTTGGCAGTGAGAGCTGAGGTTGTAGGGGTGGGGCGGGGGTAGGAGGAAGTTGTAGTTTTCCCTGTTTGGCTCTCTTGTACTGTTTTTAAAGTATAGGATTACTCTTTCAAAACAAAGCAAAACCAGCCCAGCCGGTGGGGCTCCGTGATTGAGCGTTGACCTATGAACCAGGAGGTCACGGTTCGATTCCCGGTCGGGGCACATGCCCGGGTTGCGGGCTCCATCCCCAGTGTGGGGCGTTCAGGCGGCAGCCGATCCATGATTCTCTCTCATCACTGATGTTTCTCTCTCTCTCCCCCTCTCCCTTCCTCTCTGCAATCAATGAAAATATATTTAAAAAAACAGCAAGACCAAAACATGTTGAAGAACCTGCCATAAAAGGCGGTGTGATGCCCCTGGGTTAGGAGCCTTGAGCACCCATTGGCCGAGGGCAGGAGGTCACTTGGGTGGGAGAAGGAAAGGAGGGTGGGGGCGTTGAGGGGTCTGGGGTGCTCGGCCTGAGAGGGGGCTGTGCATGTAAAATAGCCTTTTTCCCCGAAGCGATGCTGGAGGGGAGAGGGAGGAGGGGAGGGGAGGGTCTAGGAACACATACGTTTTGCCCCCCTTCTGGTTCACGTGGCCCAACAGCTGCCCCAGTTCCAGCTACAGCCCCCACTCCTCCCCCGTGGCCCCGCTGGGCCTCCGGCTCACAGCACCCCCCCCTCACAGGCCTCATCTACATCCTGCTCAAGCACATGGTGGACCGGCACAACCTCTGCTTTGCCTACCTCCCGGCCAAGCTGGAGAAGGGGATCCACTTCGAGGCCGTGCACCAGGCCCTGGCCGCCCCCATCCTGTGCCTCTTCTGGCTCTTCTTCTTCTCCTTCCTGCGCCTGGGTGAGGCCCCTTATGACCCGACGGGGGAGGCAGCCCTGGCCTCACATCTCCATATCCTACCCCCCAGTCAAATCCCTCGCCGCTTTAACAGCATCAACTCAGTGTCCAATCAGAATGTGATCCCCCTCTAGAGGGCTGGCTGGTTATCCAATCAGAATGTGGCACCCAGGGTGAAGGTTGGCTGGGTGTCCAATCAGAATGTGGCCCCCCAGGGAGGGCTGGCTGGTTATCCAATCAGAATGTGGCGCCCAGGGTGAGGGCTGGCTGGGTGTCCAATCAGAATGTGGCATCCAGGGTGAAGGTTGGCTGGGTGTCCAATCACAGTGTGGCACCCACGAAGGTTGGCTGGTTATCCAATCAGAATGTGGCGCCCAGGGTGAAGGCTGGCTGGGTGTCCAATCACAATGTGGCACCCAGGGTGCAGGCTGGTAAGGCTGGCTGGTTATCCGATCAGAATGTGGCATCCAGGGTGAAGGTTGGCTGGGTGTCCAATCACAATGTGGCACCCAGGGTGAAGGCTGGCTGGTTATCCAATCAGAATGTGGCGCCCAGGGTGAAGGCTGGCTGGGTGTCCAATCAGAATGTGGCGCCCAGGGTGAAGGCTGGCTGGGTGTCCAATCAGAATGTGGCGCCCAGGGTGAGGGCTGGTTGGGTGCCACTCAGCCACCTAAACCAGCCCAAGCTGGAGGTAACAGGTGAAGGCGGGTGGGCTGCCCCAGGCTGCCCGAGAGAGGATGGCCCCTCCACCTGCAGTGTGAGAGGCTGAGCCCGGGGAGAGGGGAGGCGGGCCCAGGCGGGTCCCCTCACACCTCACCGAGGGGACGTGCAGGAGGGAAAACCAACGCTCCTGGGAAAAAGGAAAAGGCAGGGGAGATGTGTGACTGCCCCAGTCGGGGGGGTGGGGGGGTGGATGGGGGGGCTCCACTACCTAATCTGGACCGAGGCTGCAAGGAACTGCCCCAGCAGGAAGCTGGCAGGTGCCATGGTGTCCCAGCTGCTTGAGGGCGGGGAGAGGGGCGGTGCCTTCTCTTTATGTTCTGCCCCAGAGAGAAGTCACCTGCCCAGGTGCGGGCCCCTCCCCAGCAGGGTGAGGGTGAATGGCGTCCCTTTGTCCCCAGGTCTGACGGCCCCTGCCACCCTGTTCAACTTCCTGGTCCTGCTGCTCACCATCCTGGTTTGCCTGGGCTACACCTGCTTTGGATGCTTCAAGCACCTCAGCCCTCTGAACTACAAGGTAAAGGGCGCCTCCCCCGTCGCCCCCAGCCAGCCAGGACCTGGGCCGAGATGTGGGTCCGCTCCCCACCCCTCCTCCACCCACTCACACATCAACAACTTCTCCAGGTTTTACTAGCTGGGTGCAAGGTGAGGCTTCCCTCCCCACCCCTTCCCTGCCCCCTGCACTGCCCCCCTGCCCCATGGCCGCCCCTCCCCACTCCCCCATGTCGCCTGGTGCCCGCTGGCACTGTTATTCTGGGTGTTAATAGTCCGCCTGTTTGGAGGGGGGTTGTTCAGGAAGATGGTTGTTGCTTCTCATTGGAAGTTTCTGCTGTTTCCTGCAGACGGAAGAGCCGGGGGCTGACAAGGGAAACGAGGCACTGGCCCATGTGCCCGCTCCGTACACGGTGAGTCACGCTCTCCCCCCGGACCCAGCCCCCGGGTCCCGGCAGGCAGGCTTCGATCATCTCGTGAAGAGAGAAGCCCCTCGACCCCGTGTGTCGGGCAGGCTGCTGAATTAATGTCACTTGAGAAGGAGTCCCAGGAGCCTCTGGAGCTCTAACCTGGGTCTGTGCAACCGCGTCCCCCACGGAGCCGAGAATCCGTTTGGCCAGGACCGGATGCCCATCGCCTGGGGTGTCAGATTCCTGCTCACTTTCCTTCTCTGCATTTTTAATGCCCGGAGAGCCGGGCCTTTCGTGAGTGAGGCTACATCGCCAGGCCCTGTGGTTGGTGAAGCTGATCTCCAGCTTCCAGCAGCACCTGCCCCGGTGGGTCCAACGGCGCCCAGACCGGCTCCCCGTGGAGTTTAGCGCGTGAACATGGTGCCTGCTGCACGCGGGCACCGGCTAGAGCAGCGGTTCTCAACCTTCTGGCCCTTTAAATACAGTTCCTCATGTGGTGACCCAACCATAACATTATTTTCGTTGCTACTCCATCACTGTCATGTTGCTACTGTGATGAAACGTCATGTAAATATCTGATAGGCAGGATGGTCTTCGGCGACCCCTGTGCAAGGGTCGTGTGACCGCCAAAGGGGGTGCGACCCACAGGTTGAGAAACGCTGCTCTCATGGAAGGACC